GGCCCCATTCGATGGACAGAGACCGAGTTATCACCGACAGTCACAGCTCGACTTTAGCGCCCACAACCCTGCATGATTTTCTTCCACTCCTACTTCTCCATGGATCCCGAGACCTGGCCTGTGGGGATGCACACCAACCAGTGTTCTACAAACGGGAATGAGGAGAGGAGAGGAGAGGAGAGGAGAGGAGAGGAGAGGAGAGGAGAGGAGAGGAGAGAGAGTGTGTTGGCCAACATACTAGAGAAGAGAGAGAGAGAGAGAGAGAAAAACATGGGAGGAAAGCAAGCACCTGGAGTTATTCTCCTGGAGGTAACCTTCTGCTGCAGAGGAGACACGGTTCCTGACCACAGAAATGAGCAACCTCTGAAAATAAGGACCTTTTCTCCCTCGTAACCACAGTTAGTCAGGAACCTTTTCATACAAACCCAGCCCTACTGTACTAGGCTTCCCAACCTGGACTCAGGTGGAGTCTGAGCAGAGCCCTCACCAAACCAGACACTTATCTCACTATCAGCAGCATCTGCTAGGCTCCCAGATGGGACAGCTTTTGCGTGGGATCAACAATGCTCAGAGTCTCGATGCTCTGGCTCGCTTTCCATCGCATGAGGACAGTAGACTGATGCTTGACTTCGTTTTCCTTGGTACTAAACCTAGCAGAGGGGGGAAAAACAAAAAAATTTGCATCTCTGTCTGCAATGTCGCATAGTCTCTTCATTTCACATCTCCCATATCCCACGGCTCCACCCTCAACCCATCTCTCATTACTACGTTACAACTGCAACTAGAAGGTACCCATTGTAACAGCACCCAAAATACTCACTTTCCTCAGGAGACTCTTGTCCCTTCCCCAGTCTTAATCCCAGAGCCTCGTAACTAACAAGGAAGCACACGGCTTATGAAGAATACTTCAGCAAGCACAGATGAGGAATTCAAAGCACTGACCTCTGACTCACAGCCAGCGATCCAAAAGGCAGAAACATGACAACTATTCACGTCTCCTTAGAAGCATGTCCAGGCTGCTCAGGTCCACTTCTGCCATATTCTTGTCCGGCTACGGCTCCTGGACGATTCCTCTGCAAACTAATAAAGCCAAGCAAGAACTCTCACTACACAGAGCTATATTGGTGCGTTGAATTGTGCCCTCATCCCTGCCTCCGTCTCCAGTCCCATCTACATGAGCCCCACTCGATGAACAGAGACCGAGTAAACACAGACAGTCACAGCTCCACTTTAGCGCCCACTGCCACGCATGCTTTTCGTCCGCTCCAACTTCTCCATGGCTCCCGAGACCTGGCCTCTGGGGATGCACACCTAGCACACCTGCCTGTGTCCTACGAAGGGAGGCAGAACAAGGAAAGGCAAGGACAGACACAGAGAGATAGAGGGTGTGTGTTGGCCAACGTACTAGAGAAGAGAGAGAGAGACAGACAGATAAAAAGACATGGGAGGAAGGCAAGCCACTCACCATCTGGAGTCATCCTCCTGGATGCAACATTCCGCTGCCGAGGACACACCGCTCCTGGCCAGAGAAATGAGCAGTCCCTGAAAATGGGGACCTTGTCTCTCTCATAACCACAGCTGGTCAGGAACCATTTCTTACAAACCCAGCCCCAGCTAATGGGGCATCCCTACCTAGAGCCAGGAAGGCCCTACGCAGAGCCCTCACCAAACCACACACTTATCTCACTGACAGTAGCGACTGCTCCACTGCCAACTGGACGGCTCCTGACTTGCATCAACAATGCTCGTGGGCTCACGGCTCTCGCTCGCTTTCCATCCAATGAGCGGAGTAAACTCTGACGTTTGATTTCTTTTCCCTCGATACTAAACCTGGCACAAGGAGAAAAAACAACGAAGTTACTATCTCAGTGGGCAGCGTTGCGTAAGCTATTCTTTTCGCCTCTCCCACACGGCAGCGCTCCGCCCCAAACCCTGTCCCCCGTTACGCCTTTAGCACTAGAACTAAAAAGCACCCCTTGCAACGGCACCCGAAATAATCACTCTGTGCAGCAGACTCTGGCTCCTCCCCAGTTGTAATCTCACAGAGCCCCATACCCAACGAGGAGGCACACAGCCTGTGAAGAATACTATAGCGAGCACAGATGAGCAATTCAAAGCACTGACCGCTTACTCGCAGCCAGTTATGCGGCAGTCAGAAAGCTGAGGACAGTTCATGTCGGCTGACAAGGATGTCCAGTCTGCTCATGTCCAATTCTGCCACTTTCTCCTCGGGCTGGGGCTCTTGGAAAATTCCTCTGGAAGTGCAGCTGCAAAAGCCAAGCATGAGCCATCACTACTTAAAGCTCTATATGTCGCTTCAAAACTTGCCCTCATCCTGGCCTCCCTCTCCAATCCCATCTATATCAGCCCCGCTCGATGAACAGAGACCGAGTTAACACCAACAGACACAGCCCTGCATGATTTTCATCCCCTCCTACTTTTCCATGGCTCCCGAAACCTGGCCTGCGGGGATGCACACCTAGCAAGCCTACCCGTCTCCTACGAAGGGAGACGGCACGAGGAACAGAGAGAAAAGAGAGTGAGAAAGTTGGCCAACACACTAGAGAAGAGAGAGAGAGAAGGAAAAAAAATGGCAGGAAGGTAAGCAACTGACCACCTGGAGTCATCGTCCTGAATCCAACTTTCCGCTGCGGAGGAGATACTGTTCCTGACCAGAGAAATGAGCAACCTCTGAAAATAGGGACCTTTTCCCCCTCGTAACCACAGTTAGTCAGGAACCTTTTCATACAAACCCAGCCCTAACTTAGTGGGCTTCCCATCCTGGACTCAGGTTGGGCGTAAACAGAGCCCTCACCAAACCAGACACTTATTTCACTGATAGCGGCGTCTCCTCAGCTCCCAGATGGACAGCTTTTGTGTGGCATCAACAATGCTCAGAGTCTCAATGCTCTTGCTCGCTTTCCATCGCATGAGAGCAGCAGACTCTGACGCGTGACTTCGTTTTCCTTGGTACTAAACCCAGCGGGAGGCAGGAACCAAAAAAAATTAGCATCTTCATCTGCAATGTCGCGTAGTCTCCTTCATTTCACATCTCCCTTATCCCACATCTCCATCCTCAACCCATCTCCCATTACTATGTTACAACTGCAACTAGAAGGTACCCATTGTAACGGCACTCAAAATACTCACTTTCCTCAGGAGATTCTTGTCCCTTCCCCAGCCTTAATCCCAGAGCCTCATACCCAACGAGGAAGCACACGGCCTGTGAAGAAAACTACAGTGAGTACAGATGAGGAATTCAAAAGCACTGACCTCTTACTCAGAGCCAGCGATGCAGAAGGCAGAAACATGAGGACTATTCATGTCTCCTTAGAAGGATGTCCAGGCTGCTCAGGTCCACTTCTGCCATATTCTTGTCTGGCTAGAGCTCCTGGATGATTCCTCTGCAAACTAATAAAGTCAAGCAAGAACTATCACTACACAGAGCTCTATTGGTGCTGGAAATCTTGCCCTCATCCCTGCCTCCCTCTCCAGTCCCATCTACATCAGCCCCACTGGATGAACAGAGACCGAGTAAACACAGACAGTCACAGCTCCACTTTAGCGCTCACTGCCCCACATGGTTTTCGTCTGCTCCTACTTCTTCATGGCTCCAGAGACGTGGCTAGGATGCACACCTAGCATGCCTGTCCGTGTCCTACGAAGGGAGACGGCACAAGGAGAGGAGAGGAGAGGAGAGGAGAGGAGAGGAGAGGAGAGTCAGTGAGAAAGTTGGCCAACACATTAGAGAAGAGAGAGAGACAGACAGATAGAAAGACATGGGAGGAAGGCAAGCAACTCACCACCTGGAGTCATCCTCCTAGATGCAACCTTCTGCTGCATAGCAGACACCACTCCTGACCAGAGAAATGAGCAGACCCTGAAAATGAGGACCTTGCTCCCCTCATAACCACAGCTAGTCAAGAACATTTTCTTACAAACCCAGCCCCAGCTCATGTGGCATCCCTAGCAGGAGCAAGGTGGGCTGTTAACACAGCAATCACCAAACCAGACACTTATCTCACTGCGAGTGGCAGCCGTTCCCCTCCCAGTAGGACGGCTTTTGCGTGGCATCAACAATGCTCACGGTTTCGTTGCTCTGGCTCGCTTTCCATCACATGAGGGCTTGAGACTCTGAGGCGTGACTTCTTTTCCCTCGGTCCTAAACCCAGCACAAGGTGAAAAAACAAATCTGTTACCATCTCAGTTGGCAAGATCTTGTCCCTTCCCCAGCCTTAATCCCAGAACCTCGTAACTAACGAGGAAGCAAATGGCCTGTGAAGAAAACTACAGTGAGTACAGATGAGGAATTCACAGCACTGACCTCTTACTCACAGCCAGCGATGCAGAAGGCAGAAACATGAGGCCTATTCATGTCTCCTTAGAAGGATGTCCAGACTGCTCAGGTCCACTTCTGCCATATTCTTGTCCGGCTAGGGCTCCTGGACGATTCCTCTGCAAACTAATAAAGTCAAGCAAGAACTATGACTACACAGAGCTCTATTGGTGCGGCGAGTCTTGCCCTCATCCCTGCCTCCCTCTCCAGTCCCATCTACATCAGCCCCACTCGATGAACAGAGACCGAGTAAACACAGACAATCACAGCTCCACTTTAGCGCCCACTGCCCTGCATGGTTTTCGTCTGCTCCTACTTCTCCGTGGCTCCCGAGACCTGGCTAGGATGCACACCTAGCACGGATGCCCGTGGTCCTACGAAGGGAGACGGCATGAGGAGAGGAGAGGAAAGAGACTGAGAAAGTTGGCCAACACACTAGAGGAGAGAGAGAGACAGAGAGAAAAAAAATGGGAGGAACGCAAGCAACTCACCACCTGAGTCATCCTCCTGGATGCAATCTTCCGCTGCCGAGGACGCACCACATCTGGGCAGAGAAATGAGCAGCCCCTGAAAATGGGGACCTTGTTTCTCTCGTAACCACAGCTGGTTAGGAACCATTTCTTACAAACCCAGCCCCAGCTAACGGGGCATCCCTACTTGGAGCCAGTGGGGCCCTACGCAGAGCCCTCACCAAACCAGACATTTATTTCACTGACAATAGCGACTGCTCCACTGCCAACTGGATGGCTCCTGACTTGCATCAACAATGCTCGCGGGCTCACGGCACTCGCTCGCTTTCCATCCAAGGAGGGGAGTAAACTCTGACATTTGATTTCTTTTCCCTCCGTACTAAACCCGGCACAAGGAGGAAAAACAAATAAGTTACCACCTCAGTGGGCGCGTCGCATAGGCTATTCTTTTCGCCTCTCCTACACAGCAGCCTCCCGCCCCAACCCCTCCCTCCCATTACCCCTTTAGCATTACAACTAAAACGCACCCCTTGCAATGGCATCCAATATAATCACTCTACCCAGCAGACTCTGGCCCCTCCCCAGCCGTAATCTCGCAGAGTCCCGTACCCAATGAGAAAGCACATGGCCTGTGAAGAATACTACAGCGAGCACAGATGAGCAATTCAAAGCTCTGACTGCTTACTCACAGCCAGTAATGCGGGAGTCAGAAAGCGGAGGACTGTTCATGTCTGCTTACAAGGATGTCCAGTCTGCTCATGTTCACTTCTGCCACTTTCTCCTCAGGATAGGGCTCTTGGAAAATTCCTCTGGAAGCGCATCTGCAAAAGCCAAGCATGAGCCATCACTACTTAAAGCTCTATTTGTTGCTTCAAATCTTGCCCTCATCCTGGCCTCCCTCTCCAATCCCATCTACATCAGCCCCACTCGATGAACAGAGACCGAGTTAACACCAACAGACAACCCTGCATGGTTTTCGTCCCCTCCTACTTCTCCATGGCTCCCAAGACCTGGCCTGTGGGGATGCACAGCTAGCACGCATGCCCATGTCGTACGAAGGGAGATGGCACAAGGACATGAGAGGAAAGAGTGAGAAAGTTGGCCAACACACAAGAGAAGAGAGAGAGAGAGAACGGAAAAAAAATGGCAGGAAGGTAAGCAACTGACCACCTGGAGTCATCCCCCTGAATCCAACCTTCCGCTGCGGAGGAGACACTGTTCCTGACCAGAGAAATGAGCAACCTCTGAAAATAGGGACCTTTTCCCCCTCGTAACCAGTTAGTCAGGAACCTTTTCATACAAACCCAGCCCTAACTTAGTGGGCTTCCCATCCTGGACTCAGGTTGGGCGTAAACAGAGCCCTCACCAAACCAGATACTTATCTCACTGATAGCAGCATCTCCTCAGCTCCCAGATGGACGGCTTTTGTGGGCATCAACAATGCTCAGAGTCTCAATGCTCTTGCTCGCTTTCCATCGCATGAGTGCAGTAGACTCTGAAGCGTGACTTCGTTTTCCTTGGTACTAAACCTAACAGAGGGTGGGAAAACCAAAAAATTAGCATCTCCGTCTGCAATGTCGCGTAGTCTCTTCATTTCACATCTCCACCCTCAACCCATCTCCCATTACTATGTTACAACTGCAACTACAAGGCACCCATTGTAACGGCACTCAAAATACTCACTTTCCTCACGAGATTCTTGTCCCTTCCCCAGCCTTAATCCCAGAGCCTCGTAACTAACGAGGAAGCACATGGCCTGTGAAGAAAACTACAGCGACTACAGATGAGGAATTCAAAGCACTGACCTCTTACTCATAGCCAGCAATGCAGAAGGCAGAAACATGAGGACTATTTATGTCTCCTTAGAAGGATGTCCAGGCTGCGCAGGTCCACTTCCACCATATTCTTGTGCGGCTAGGGCTCCTGGACGATTCCTCTGCAAACTAATAAAGCCAAGCAAAAACTATCACTACACAGAGCTCTATTGGTGCTGGAAATCTTGCTCTCAGCCCTGCCTCCCTCTCCAGTCCCATCTACATCAGCCCCGCTCGATGAACAGAGACCGAGTAAACACCAACAGACACAGCCCTGCATGATTTTCATCCCCTCCTACTTTTCCATGGCTCCCGAAACCTGGCCTGCGGGGATGCACACCTAGCAAGCCTACCCGTCTCCTACGAAAGGAGACGGTACGAGGAACAGAGAGAAAAGAGAGTGAGAAAGTTGGCCAACACACTAGAGAAGAGAGAGAGAGAAGGAAAAAAAATGGCAGGAAGGTAAGCAACTGACCACCTGGAGTCATCCTCCTGAATCCAACTTTCCGCTGCGGAGGAGATACTGTTCCTGACCAGAGAAATGAGCAACCTCTGAAAATAGGGACCTTTTCCCCCTCGTAACCACAGTTAGTCAGGAACCTTTTCATACAAACCCAGCCCTAACTTAGTGGGCTTCCCATCCTGGACTCAGGTTGGGCGTAAACAGAGCCCTCACCAAACCAGACACTTATTTCACTGATAGCGGCGTCTCCTCAGCTCCCAGATGGACAGCTTTTGTGTGGCATCAACAATGCTCAGAGTCTCAATGCTCTTGCTCGCTTTCCATCGCATGAGAGCAGCAGACTCTGACGCGTGACTTCGTTTTCCTTGGTACTAAACCTAACATAGGGTGGGAAACCAAAAAAATTAGCATCTCCGTCTGCAATGTCGCGTAGTCTCTTCATTTCACATCTCCACCCTCAACCCATCTCCCATTACTACGTTACAACTGCAACTAGAAGGTACCCATTGTAACGGCACTCAAAATACTCACTTTCCTCAGGAGATTCTTGTCCCTTCCCCAGCCTTAATCCCAGAGCCTCATACCCAACGAGGAAGCACACGGCCTGTGAAGAAAACTACAGTGAGTACAGATGAGGAATTCAAAAGCACTGACCTCTTACTCACAGCCAGTGATGCAGAAGGCAGAAACATGAGGACTATTCATGTCTCCTTAGAAGGATGTCCAGGCTGCTCAGGTCCACTTCTGCCATATTCTTGTCTGGCTAGAGCTCCTGGATGATTCCTCTGCAAACTAAAAGTCAAGCAAGAGCTATCACTACACAGAGCTCTATTGGTGCGTCGAGTCTTGCCCTCATCCCTGCCTCCCTCTCCAGTCCCATCTACATCAGCCCCACTCGATGAACAGAGACCGAGTTCACACCGACAGTCACCGCTCCACTTTCGCACCCACTCCCCTGCATGATTTTTGTCCCCTCCTACTTCTCCATGGCTCCCGAGACAAAGCCTGTGGGGATGCACACGTAGCACGCCTGCCCGTGTCTTATGAAGGGAGACAACACGAGGAAAGGCAAGGACAGACAGAGCTAGAGGTTGTGTGTTGGCCAACGTACTAGAGAAGAGAGAGAGAGAGAGAGAGAAGGAAACATCGGAGGAAAGCAAGCACTCACCACGTGGAGTCATCCTCCTGGATGCAACCTTCTGCTGCAGAGGAGACACCGTTCCTGACCAGAGAAATGAGCAGACCCTGAAAATGAGGACCTTGCTCCCCTCATAACCACAGCTAGTCAAGAACATTTTCTTACAAACCCAGCCCCAGCTCATGTGGCATCCCTAGCAGGAGCAAGGTGGGCTGTTAACACAGCAATCACCAAACCAGACACTTATCTCACTGAGAGTGGCGGCCGTTCCCCTCCCAGTAGGACGGCTTTTGCGTGGCATCAACAATGCTCACGGTTTCGTTGCTCTGGCTCGCTTTCCATCACATGAGGGCTTGAGACTCTGAGGCGTGACTTCTTTTCCCTCGGTCCTAAACCCAGCACAAGGCGAAAAAAC